CCGGGAGGGCCCCGGGAGGGCCCCGGGAGGGCCCCGGGAGGGCGGGGCTAAAGGCGGGTAGAGAATCCATGCAATCAAATAGGAGAGTGTTGGCCCCTGGCTCACGGGCAGCGGCACGCCGGTCCTTTTAGTCAATGCTCAGTTAAGAGGTTCACAATCAGCCGCTACCTTCTTCCTGGCCCGTTCTAGCCTCAGTAGTTTCCTCGTTGCCCGTCTGGCAGAAATAAACAACATCCTTCCAAAGAGCGAGCTGAAGGACCAAGGGAAGTGCCCTGGGCACCCCCAACTGTTACGAGACTCACAGCAGTCTCCTGTACATCCATCAGCCCCAGCTGTTCCAGGAACGAAATGAGATGTGAACTGAAGCACATTTTAAAACTAGGTCATGTTTCTTTTCAAACCTTTGGATCAGGATTGTGGTACGGGGGTGGCTCCTCCCCCCCTTTGGTTTTTAGTCCTCAGCCTGTGCTTGAGTCAGAGTGAGTTCAAAGGCAAAGCTTCAGTTCCCAGCTTCCGTGTTGCCAGTAGGCGAGGAGCAGGGAGAGTCCGTGAACAGCACAGATGGTGTGGCAGGAAACATCACCCACTCATTTTTCAGAATCTGTTGATCAGGCATCTTTCCTTCCTCAAGGCTGAAATGGAAATTGCTGAGCCGTTTTGAGTCCTGGAGTCCCCGTCTCCAGTTGACTTCTACCTCCCCGTAGCCTTTTGCACAAGCTGAAGGGGTCCTTCTCTCTTATCTCCTCCTTCACACAGACCCTGTTCAGTGTCATTGATGGTTCTGTCATTTAATTGATACTTAAAACTCAAGTTACTTGCAGAGATGCAACTTGGAGAGATTTCCAAACAGCCAGGGATCTTGGAGTCTCTCAGCTTTTTCTTGGCAATACAACTGCACAAGGGGCTTTTCATCCACCTGGAGTATCTCCTTCTGCTGTAAGCCATATCCAGGCAAATCTCCTTTGTCTGAAAACTGGTCCAGAGAGAACAGAGGCCAGCAGGGAGACTTGGAGGAGAACGTTTGTTCTCAGGCACGGGTTCTCCTTTGACCAGGTATCTGGTCAGCTGCCTCAAGAGACTAGAGCTGGTCAACCACCACGGGGCAGCACCTCACATGTCCTTGGCACCCTCAGGGGGAAGTTCTTTCTGTGGTCCTTCTGCAAGAGGCTGGGATTCCAAACCAGAATGCATAAGAGGTAAGATGAGGTCATCCATATTTGGCATCACTAAAATTTTCTGATGGAAGAAAGAGTGTAAAATCAAAATTAAATCCACCTGGAGGTTTGCAAACCAAAGGCTTGGTGAGGCATTGTAGCCTCCAACTTTGAAACCAAGCGTATGGCTGTGGAAGGCAGGCCAATCCATGGTCAATGTGGTGGAAATGAACTTTTCAGAGAATGCACAGCTACTGTTAACAGGGGCAACTTCTTGTTATTGCAATGCATAGTTCCAGATCTCTCAGCTGTAGAATAATAGGTGGCAGCTGTTTGGTTTATTTATTTAAATTATTTCATTCCCACCTTTCTACTCTGGAGTGTGCAAGATAGCACTGTGCAGCTACTGCAAACAGAAAATAATAAAAGAGATCCAGATTAAGATCCAGACTAAGCAGAGAGGAGGAGGGCTGTAGACTTTGCAGCCAGAATGTATCCCTATCTCTACTCAGAAGTAAACATTGCCACTTTCAGTGTCATCTACTAATTAATTAAGTAGCAAATGGAAGTGTGTGTGGTGAGAAAACTTCATTCTGGTCAGCAATTAAGGTTAAAAGCAAGAAGATCAGGCAAAGGAAAGGAGAAGAACATGAATTAACTCTGGAGCTGGAGAATCCTATCAGGCAGTGAAGAAAAGGAGGGAAATTGCCCTCTGCTTTCCCCAGGAACAACTCTTCCCAATGGTCACATTTACCAACATATTAACTGCCTCCATTAAAGATCTAGATGCTGTATTTGCACAACACATAAGCTTGCTTAGGATTATCTTTGCTTGTTTCTTTGGTTTGGGGCATGTCTTAGTATGTTGCAAACCAATTTGCGTAGTTCAACAAATTGGGTGGACCCAGAAAATGGGTTGATTCAGAACCCCAATTGTGTATGTTGTATGAACACAATCACTGGGATTCACCCATGCACTTTACACCTTTATGAAAAAGCCACAGCTCTTTTGCTCTTTCCTTCCTGCAGCCATTAAAAAAAGTACAGACAAAACATGGAGCTTTCCATGCCATCCAAATCCCTTACCAAATTGGACAGAGAGGAGTGGCACTTGCACCTGAAAACCTTCCTGGGGAAAAGGGCTTGGCCACCACATTAAGCTGCCCTCCGGCTCAATATGTTTTGAATGCTCTTAAGCCCTCAACACATCTTACAACAATGAACCACCCAAGTTTATTGCTGGGGAGCTCAGCTTAAGCTATTTCTGGGCTCCCTTCCAACACTTCACCATCTGCTGCCTCAACCAAGTACCTGGAATTCATGTTGGAGCTTCTTCTCAATCCATTCAGTGACGTGGGGGAAGGTGACCTCCCGTTCTCCTAGCTTTGGCCGCACCTTCAGATCCAACTGCGGAGGGATCCGGAAGCTGTACCTGGGTCAGGGAGGCAAAAATGATTTTACTAAGTTTCCTCTCCCTCTGAAGCATTCTCATATTCCCTCTGTCCTTTCTGCTGGATGTTGGATGTTTTCCAGCAAGCAGGGAGAACACGGAATACCCCATTCACCCTTCTCTTCCTTGGCTAAGACAAGACTGCGTCTGGGGAGATTACCCCAGCAAACTAGGATTATAGCACTCCAGTTCTTATCTTAACAGGAGTTCAGAAGGAAGAAGGCCAAAGTCATCTGTTCAATACTCTAGTATTCTACCTCATTTTATACTTCTGTCTTATCCATGGTCCAGGTGTTGTTGAACTACAACTCCCAGCATCCCTCACCACTGGCCTTGGTGACTGAAGTTGCTGGGAGTTGTATTTTCTTCTTTAATACCATATTTATCCCAAAGGAAGAAAACTCTGAATTTAAGATGACTACTCCCTTCCAAAATTGAGTTATACTTTAGCACAACCCAGAGGGCCTCTGGTTCCTGAATCCTGACCTATTTAAATTAGTCTCTGATGTTCTCAGAAATGAAAATATGTTGAGATTCAGACTTGGCACATGGGTCCCACCATCTCACATGGGCTGGAGACTTCCTGAATCAAATCCCATTTTGTGAAAGGGTATTAAAGGTAGATATATAAAAAATATAAGTAAATGTTTTGTTCTTTGACAGCAACTGTTGCTTCACCTTTGCCAATGAGTCTAATAGCAAAACTTAGCTTTTAGAAGAATGAATGGTATATTTGGAAGACACAGAAAGAGCCAAATCCATATCCAGACACCATGTTCAGAGACAGACTGTAGCCCTAGAATTCCAGAACTTGGGAGGATTTGCAGGAAGGGCTATCAGGACCATCTCGTTCATTTATGAGCTTTCCTTCAGCCTGCTGCTGTCCTGGCTGCTGCCAGAGATATGGTGATGGGGCAGTTTACTTAAAGGTCTCCATCTCTCCTTCCAAGTCCATGATGCATCCCTAGGACAGTGCTCAGATCTCATACAGCCTCATCTTTGCTGGGCCCAACCAAAAGGTCAATTCATCCTTTCTCTGCTCCCTTGGCACCTACCAGATTCGATCTGTCGGAGGTGGAGGGATGTTCACAGTCAATGTGCCCGTCAGTTCTTGGACCTCCACAGTCAAAAGCAATGGAGTGTTGGAGACCTCTTCCATCTTCTTCTTAATGAATTCATTCTCAGTGGCCTTCTGGAAATATTTGGACTTAGCAATCTTGTCCACAAAGCGCAAGATCTTCCGACTGGTGCTGCTGCCACTGATGAAAAAAGTGGAAGCAGGTCACCCTTGGTTCCTCAAATAGCAGGGATTAGAAAATAATATGTCCAAATGGAGATATATTTGTTTGATTGTTCAATTTATATGACTGTCCACTAGTCAGGCTTTACTGTGTGACTGCAACATTGGCAAAATGTGAGACATGACAAAGGTAAGTTGAGTCACAGTTTAGTTTAGGGACATGAAATTGCATAAACTCAGCTCAGCTTAGATATGTGCTACAAGTTTATTCCCTGAATTTAAGCCAAGGATGACTGGACTCTGGTGATGAAGGCAAATCAGGAAGTTACCAAATGCAAGCCCTGAAGAAGAACTCCATCCCCATCCCTTAAATCCTTCTTAAGAAAGTGAGAATTCTGAGAATTTCATCCAAGATTATCAAGATAAGTTGTCTAGTGTGAAAATAGTAGCTATCCAAATATGTTTCCTCTCCTAAATGGGAGACCCAACCAGAAGAGGCAAAAAGAACTGAGGTGGTTCAGTGGTAGCTACAGTACCAACTCTGATTGGCCAAAGTGGCTGGCTGACATGCAGAAACACGAGCTTTGGTACCCAAAAAGTGGCATCTTAACAAAAAAACTGTGGAATCTTAAGTTAACCGCAAAAGAGACATTGGGGATCTGCCTGCATGTACTCACACCCATTTCATGGCTTCTCCTGCCAAGAATGAAGGGCTGAGAACTCCCCCTTACAATTGCAGGTTCCCTGTGGAGAACAAATGACTATGAATGGTGGATAAGGTTGGAGTGCAGATTTCTGGAGACCCAATGAGAAACTAAAACCTTTAGCACCGACCCGGACCTTATCCCATTAGTGAGTTAAGGTGTGCTCCACCCATCCTTGAGGTGGCACAAAGGAACGCCAGACCCAAATCTGCCGTACCTACTCCTGTTTCTCTCCTGCCTCATTCCACTGCTCTGAATCGGTGCCAAACGTGCACTGTGTGAGGGTGCTTTCGTTATAGGCGAGATACTGGCATACCTCGTTTTATTGCGCTTCGCTTTACTATACTTCGCAGATATTGTGGTTTTTTTACAGATTGAAGGTTGGTGGCAACCCTGCGTCGAGCAAGTATCAGATCATGATTAGCATTTTTTAGCAATAAAGTATTTTTTACATTAAGGTATGCACATTGTTTTTGTAGACATAATGCTATTGTGCACACTTAATAGACTACCGTATAGTGTAAACATAACTTTTACATGCACTGGGAAACCAAAAAATTTGCGTGACTCGCTTTATTGCAATATTCACTTTATTGCGGAGGTCTGGAACCGAACCGGCAATATCTCTGAGGTGTGCCTGCAATTGGTTTTCTCATCTGGCTTGGCTGCACCCACCAGTGGGGCACCGTAGCATGAATGCGGGGAGGGAGCCTGACTTCAGGATGTCGCCTGAGCGTCTCTAGTCTGATCTGCCTAACGCTCCTCTTCGGCATCTTCCAAGTTGTGAAATGAAGAAATGCCTAGGAAGACACCAGGGCAGAGAGGAAGGAGGCCATCCTTGTACAACTGATGTTCTCTGGGTGAGCGAGCCAGAGAACTGCTGACCAGCTGGCTGGGTAGGGGGCCGCTTACTTCCTAGAGAAGAAGTGATTGAAACTGGCAAATACAGGGAAACTGGAAAATAGCAATCCACTAACTGCTGGAGTTCCTGTGGGTTGAGGGGGCAGTCGATCAAATAAGCAAGCCAACGAGTTCAACATCCCTCATCCTTCTCTGGCAGGGAAGAAGAGTGCTGCCTCCGAAGGTGAAAATGCATTTCAGAATGCCGTTAGTGGATCGGCGCAAAACGACTTCCCCTCTCCCCTCCAACCCCCATTAAAGTTATGGTTATTAAAGTGCTCTCCTCTTCGCTACGTGTTGGAAGCTTGGAGAGAAGTTGGTTTTAAAAGTATAAAGCTGGGGAGGGAGTGTAAAGGACTTGGAAAACAAAGTGCTTTTTAACATGCCGCATGTTAAAAAGGGGTGGGGCTTCCATGGTGTGGTTGCAGCTGCCATCTTGACTTTTTTGACCCCCCAAATGCACCTGGACAGAAATGGCTGCTGGGGAGGCTGGCGAGAGGGCAGAGGGGAGGGCTGGCCTGTCCCGCCGGGGAGGTGGAGGGACGATGGCGATGGTGCAGCGGTTTCCTTGCTGAGCTCCTTCGGGCATTTTGTCTGCTTTGCCCGTTTTTATGAGCTGCCTAGCTACACACCTCAGTTTTCATCTAGTTGCATTTTGTATATACAGAATTTTCATCTAGTTGTATACAGAATACAACTAGAATATACAGAATATTCTGTAGAATATTCTCTGCGAGAGATATTCTAAATCTGGACACCAAGTCCCTGGAACTTCATAAAGCCTCCCGACGCGATGCATCAGCACCGAAGCAGCGGGGAAGAACAAGAAACCCAGCAAGGGGGAGAGAGAGACACACACACAAGCCACAGGGCAAGTCCAGGCTCACAGACTCTGCCCAACCCAACAGAGCAGCCCAAAATTGATAACTCCGTGATGGGCAAGAAAACTGCGAGCAAAAATAATAACAGAATAAATCCTCTCCATTCCATCCCTGCCTCCAATAGCTGTGATATATTGAACTGGGATTTGGAAACAGAAATAAAAAAACAACAACTATTATTGCTCTCCTCTACTTTGCATGAAGAATTGAGCCATCGGATTGAATCGCTGCCTTTATTTATTTGTTTTTTTAATAGTCTGGCTGACTCTTATTTTTTTTAGGTTTTTTTAAATCCCGCCTCTATTATTTTTAGGAATAACTCAAGGCTTTATTAGCCTCCCCCGCTGGTAATACGTCTCTGATGGGGACGGACAAGTCGAGCAATTGCCAAAGGAATTTGCAATGGGCTTTGCTGCTACACGATGTGTATTAACTGCCCAAACTGCAATTTCAATTTTTGAATATTTAACCTCTATAAATGCAAAGGTGGGCTTTTTAAAACAGCCTTTCAAACTTCCGTGCTAAATTACGCAGAGAAGCTAAGCTCGCAGCTTTTACAGTAACTCAGAACATTGGCACCAACTCCGAATTTTTGAATATTTAACCTCTATAAATGCAAAGGTGGGCTTTTTAAAACAGCCTTTCAAACTTCCGTGCTAAATTACGCAGAGAAGCTAAGCTCGCAGCTTTTACAGTAACTCAGAACATTGGCACCAACTCCGATCTGTCTGTGGACAATCAAAGGAAACAAAATTGGTCAGGAGAACAAATTTAGTTTAGAAAGGCAGAACTTACAGCCTCGCTTTCCACCAAAGAGAAAAACCCAACAAATACACTCCGAACAAATCAAAGTTGCTTTCAGGATTACGCTCAGCACAACTAACATTGGACGCTGGTCTACCAGAAGAGCTGTCATTCTATCACTTAACTCACTTCTTCGATGCCACCGTCATATGATTGATCTAAGTCAGTGTTGTCCAAACTTGGCCACTTTAAGGTGAGTGGACTTCAACTCCCAGAATTCCCCAGCCA